GGGACAGTTAAGGCTCCTCCCAATCATGCTGAGCATTCTCAGCATCTTCGCCATTCCACGATCCATGGTCCTGTGCAGGTGGGATGCTACAGCAAAGTACGCTGGGGCAGATCTATAATTAGGCTCCTTCTGATCTCCACGCTGATCAGGGTTCTGATCGACTTGGCCATTCCGCCACGCATTGTCCTGCACAGATCAGACGCTTTAGGAAGGTAGGGTGAGGGAACAGTTAAGGCTCCTCCCAATCATGCTGAGCATTCTCAGCGACTTCGTCATTCCCCGATCCATGGTCCTGTGCAGGTGGGATGCTACAGGGGAGTACGGTGGGGCAGATCTATAATTAGGCTCCTTCTGATCTCCACGCTGATCAGGGTTCTGATCGACTTGGCCATTCCACGACCACGATCCACGGTCCTGTGCACAAGGGGTGCTTTAGGGTTGTAGGGTGGGACATATTACAACATAACACGCGTGTTTGTGCAAGCTGGCCTCGTGATCTCCATCGCCTGACCACATCCATTGGTCCTGTCCAAACGGATACGGACAGGTTCCACAAGTATAGCTTTGGACAAATCATGGACACAGGCCTCCTGATCTGCGTGGCCTGATGGCTCAGTGGCGTCCTAGTCAAAGGGATGAACCATAGTCGCAACAAGTTATCTCCGGATGCATGCCAAGTACCTGCCTCAACATCGTTCTTCAGCTGAACCCACGCATATCCCATCCATGGTGAGTCCTTCAAACACGACATGCTGGATTGGGCACAATAGAAATTTACACACTCCGACACCGACATGCAATCAAAGCCTCACGAATCGAAGGCAAGGCAGGCGCCCAAGATGGATGCTCCTACATATGTCACGCAGATGGCACTTAAAACTGTTTGCAAAATCAACAAAACGTCCGGCCTTCAGTATCGTGGCGCTATCGCGCCATCCCCATTCCTCATCCACCTAGCCATGCATGCAACGACATGTTCCATCAAGGCTCTTACACATGGATCGAACTCACAAACAAACCTCATCGACGACGAGCCTCCATACCACTTGCTTGATTTTCCCATTCCTGCCAAATAAGGAGTGAAGTGAATCAGCCTATAAATCCCGAAGACAATACAGCCTATAGACCCCCAAGACGACCCCAGCCTCGTACTGATTGCCCTGCATCCAATCATCCTGTCACAAAACAGCATAGAATGACGACGCTTAGTACAACCAGAACAGCACTTCGAACTCCGGCCTCGGAATGGTTTCCCCATTGGCCTCGCACCTGCGCTCGATGGGTTATTGCAAAGGTTTGAAACTTCCAGTGTTAGCAAACATGGATTGCCTCAGCACCGTCTTCCAAAGGCTTGCTCGAGTCGGCCTCTGCATATATCTCTATCTCTGTCTCTATCTCTGACTCTCACTCTCTGTCTCTCATCTTAGTTTCGAAACTTGCGAGGCCCACCTTGCCCTCATCCAAAATCGCCAGGACCTTCGCTGAGTCCACACGGACACAGGGATCCTCTTCGCTCCATCCTTCCTCCTCAGCTTCCTCCTCAGCTTCCTCCTGAGCATCCTCCTCCATTTGCTGCTCCTGGTCCGCTTTGGGCCTCCACTCATTTCCTGGATCTCCAGGATCAGCCCACGTCCACTGCACGGAGTGATTGTAAATCTCAAGTTCCCGTGCTGAATCTTCCACCTCCAGCGTAACCTGCAGACGGATGCATGTTGTGACCCTGGAAAACTTGACCATGATCGAAACCTATAGTTGCCTGCGGCTCCTCATGAGCTTCTGCCTTTGGCCTGGGCAAGCAATCGAAGCACCATGAGATGATTGATTTGGGCAGAAATGATTACATCAAGAAGCATGCTGTCAGACCACGCCGGAGTAGGAGCATCCCGGATGGCCTGAGCATACAAGAGTCACGCACAAGCTCGTGCTTGAAAGCTCGAGATGTAAGGCAGACACTTCCATGTGCTGCAGAGGCATCAGCCAGTCGCCGTCCTGCACAGAATTGCCAAAATAAGGAATTACTCACGGTCTCTGAGTCATCGCCTCGGGCTCCGTGCTCGTTGGCGTTACGGATTCTGTCATCCTGCCCGGGAATTGAAACGGATATGGGCATAATTCAGGATATGCTATGTCCACCTTGCAGAGCCAGAGCTCGAAGCCGCCACGCCCAGGGTCTCATCCCATGCCGCCTGCGAGCGAGAGGAGTATGGTGGAAACCCGAATCTCAAAAGTCTAACGTGCAGGCTGGCCTGCTCGACCGACCATGGCTGTGTCTCCTCGTCGTCGACTGTCATGGCTTTCTTCAAAGGGCGCGAGATTCTAGCTGCACTGTTCTTCCTATACCGATACACGATCTTTGTGATGCGGATCGCCTGCTGGGCTCTCCAGCGCTTTACTGACACCCCAGGAATGATCGGAAACTGGAGGCCGTAATCCTTTTCCAACTTTTCAAGTGCCAGCGAAGCTACCTGCTCAGTCACAAACTTGTACGGCAAGTCTTCAGCCCAAGCCAACGACCTTCTAAGAGCCACGCACTTGAGAGTACCGTGTGGAATCAAATCACCAGTCGCAGCAACCCTCTTGCCACGATCTTCTTTAAGAAAAGATTCCCACAAGTGCTTTGCAAGAACTACAGCTCTGCGCGTCAGAGGCATACTCTAACGCTGCTGTGCTGCGGCAAGAAATATGAATGCATCTGCATACAAATGCCCCGATCAAGCAAAACTCGCAAAAAAACCAAGCGAGACGAGCCCACATGCTCGGACTGTGTGTCCATGGACTGTCCTCAACGTCCACAATGCCCAGCCTGGCAAAAAGTTCCAATGGCCACCGGGCAAATGATTGAATACCAGGATCCGGACCGTTGTCCAAGACTTCGTTCGGCCCCAGCTTCATGCACATCTGAGCGACAGGAATAATGTAATGATATGTTTGATTTCGACCGACTTCATCCAGTCGATCTGGCCTCGTGCTCAGCAGTCCCCGGCGGCGGCACGCACACAGTCATGCCCCACCATGCATTGCACACGCAAGCATCCCTGGTTTTAGACTGCTTCTGTGTTTTCCTAGGGCTCTTACGAACAAGGAGACGCACTGGCCAGTTTGAACGACCTTGCAGCTTCGAGCGACCTGAAGCTCCTGAGGGCCCTGACTTCGTGGAGACTCCTGAGCGACGCTTCGACACAGCAACCTCCGGCTCTGCTTCGGCTTCCGCAGGCACCATTGTGCCCTCGAGCCTTCGCAATTCCAATGGTGTAATGCGTCTGTCCCCAAGCATACATACATCGATCCAACTCTTTCAAGGAAGCATCCATGACATGAAAGTGAAGATCTGAGGCTGCGCACCCAAGAAATATCACCCGATGGGTGATTAAGTGCCGGCGGCACTGATGGATCAGTCGATAGACTTAATAGCAGCTCATGCGTATAGATATATATATATATATATGTATATATAGTATATATATATCGCGCATGAGCTGCTTTTAAGGGCCGCGGCACGATCCAGGGCTGTGTGCCGCGGCACGGTGCCGCGGCACGATCCCCCGGCCGTGTGCCGCGGCACGGTGCCGATCCCGGGGCCGTGTGCCGCGGCACGGCCCGCGGCACGATCCCCGGGCCGTGTGCCGTGGCACGGTGTCGCGGCACTATTGTCGCGTACTATAATATTATGGATGCTTCCTTGAAAGAGTTGGATCGATGTATGTATGCTTGGGGACAGACGCATTACACCATTGGAATTGCGAAGGCTCGAGGGCACAATGGTGCCTGCGGAAGCCGAAGCAGAGCCGGAGGTTGCTGTGTCGAAGCGTCGCTCAGGAGTCTCCACGAAGTCAGGGCCCTCAGGAGCTTCAGGTCGCTCGAAGCTGCAAGGTCGTTCAAACTGGCCAGTGCGTCTCCTTGTTCGTAAGAGCCCTAGGAAAACACAGAAGCAGTCTAAAACCAGGGATGCTTGCGTGTGCAATGCATGGTGGGGCATGACTGTGTGCGTGCCGCCGCCGGGGACTGCTGAGCACGAGGCCAGACTGGATGAAGTCGGTCGAAATCAAACATATCATTACATTATTCCTGTCGCTCAGATGTGCATGAAGCTGGGGCCGAACGAAGTCTTGGACAACGGTCCGGATCCTGGTATTCAATCATTTGCCCGGTGGCCATTGGAACTTTTTGCCAGGCTGGGCATTGTGGACGTTGAGGACAGTCCATGGACACACAGTCCGAGCATGTGGGCTCGTCTCGCTTGGTTTTTTTGCGAGTTTTGCTTGATCGGGGCATTTGTATGCAGATGCATTCATATTTCTTGCCGCAGCACAGCAGCGTTAGAGTATGCCTCTGACGCGCAGAGCTGTAGTTCTTGCAAAGCACTTGTGGGAATCTTTTCTTAAAGAAGATCGTGGCAAGAGGGTTGCTGCGACTGGTGATTTGATTCCACACGGTACTCTCAAGTGCGTGGCTCTTAGAAGGTCGTTGGCTTGGGCTGAAGACTTGCCGTACAAGTTTGTGACTGAGCAGGTAGCTTCGCTGGCACTTGAAAAGTTGGAAAAGGATTACGGCCTCCAGTTTCCGATCATTCCTGGGGTGTCAGTAAAGCGCTGGAGAGCCCAGCAGGCGATCCGCATCACAAAGATCGTGTATCGGTATAGGAAGAACAGTGCAGCTAGAATCTCGCGCCCTTTGAAGAAAGCCATGACAGTCGACGACGAGGAGACACAGCCATGGTCGGTCGAGCAGGCCAGCCTGCACGTTAGACTTTTGAGATTCGGGTTTCCACCATACTCCTCTCGCTCGCAGGCGGCATGGGATGAGACCCTGGGCGTGGCGGCTTCGAGCTCTGGCTCTGCAAGGTGGACATAGCATATCCTGAATTATGCCCATATCCGTTTCAATTCCCGGGCAGGATGACAGAATCCGTAACGCCAACGAGCACGGAGCCCGAGGCGATGACTCAGAGACCGTGAGTAATTCCTTATTTTGGCAATTCTGTGCAGGACGGCGACTGGCTGATGCCTCTGCAGCACATGGAAGTGTCTGCCTTACATCTCGAGCTTTCAAGCACGAGCTTGTGCGTGACTCTTGTATGCTCAGGCCATCCGGGCTGCTCCTACTCCGGCGTGGTCTGACAGCATGCTTCTTGATGTAATCATTTCTGCCCAAATCAATCATCTCATGGTGCTTCGATTGCTTGCCCAGGCCAAAGGCAGAAGCTCATGAGGAGCCGCAGGCAACTATAGGTTTCGATCATGGTCAAGTTTTCCAGGGTCACAACATGCATCCGTCTGCAGGTTACGCTGGAGGTGGAAGATTCAGCACGGGAACTTGAGATTTACAATCACTCCGTGCAGTGGACGTGGGCTGATCCTGGAGATCCAGGAAATGAGTGGAGGCCCAAAGCGGACCAGGAGCAGCAAATGGAGGAGGATGCTCAGGAGGAAGCTGAGGAGGAAGCTGAGGAGGAAGGATGGAGCGAAGAGGATCCCTGTGTCCGTGTGGACTCAGCGAAGGTCCTGGCGATTTTGGATGAGGGCAAGGTGGGCCTCGCAAGTTTCGAAACTAAGATGAGAGACAGAGAGTGAGAGTCAGAGATAGAGACAGAGATAGAGATATATGCAGAGGCCGACTCGAGCAAGCCTTTGGAAGACGGTGCTGAGGCAATCCATGTTTGCTAACACTGGAAATTTCAAACCTTTGCAATAACCCATCGAGCGCAGGTGCGAGGCCAATGGGGAAACCATTCCGAGGCCGGAGTTCGAAGTGCTGTTCTGGTTGTACTAAGCGTCGTCATTCTATGCTGTTTTGTGACAGGATGATTGGATGCAGGGCAATCAGTACGAGGCTGGGGTCGTCTTGGGGGTCTATAGGCTGTATTGTCTTCGGGATTTATAGGCTGATTCACTTCACTCCTTATTTGGCAGGAATGGGAAAATCAAGCAAGTGGTATGGAGGCTCGTCGTCGATGAGGTTTGTTTGTGAGTTCGATCCATGTGTAAGAGCCTTGATGGAACATGTCGTTGCATGCATGGCTAGATGGATGAGGAATGGGGATGGCGCGATGGCGCCACGATACTGAAGGCCGGACGTTTTGTTGATTTTGCAAACAGTTTTAAGTGCCATCTGCGTGACATATGTAGGAGCATCCATCTTGGGCGCCTGCCTTGCCTTCGATTCGTGAGGCTTTGATTGCATGTCGGTGTCGGAGTGTGTAAATTTCTATTGTGCCCAATCCAGCATGTCGTGTTTGAAGGACTCACCATGGATGGGATATGCGTGGGTTCAGCTGAAGAACGATGTTGAGGCAGGTACTTGGCATGCATCCGGAGATAACTTGTTGCGACTATGGTTCATCCCTTTGACTAGGACGCCACTGAGCCATCAGGCCACGCAGATCAGGAGGCCTGTGTCCATGATTTGTCCAAAGCTATACTTGTGGAACCTGTCCGTATCCGTTTGGACAGGACCAATGGATGTGGTCAGGCGATGGAGATCACGAGGCCAGCTTGCACAAACACGCGTGTTATGTTGTCATATGTCCCACCCTACAACCCTAAAGCACCCCTTGTGCACAGGACCGTGGATCGTGGTCGTGGAATGGCCAAGTCGATCAGAACCCTGATCAGCGTGGAGATCAGAAGGAGCCTAATTATAGATCTGCCCCACCGTACTCCCCTGTAGCATCCCACCTGCACAGGACCATGGATCGGGGAATGACGAAGTCGCTGAGAATGCTCAGCATGATTGGGAGGAGCCTTATCTGTTCCCTCACCCTACCTTCCTAAAGCATCTGATCTGTGCAGGACAATGCGTGGCGGAATGGCCAAGTCGATCAGAACCCTGATCAGCGTGGAGATCAGAAGGAGCCTAATTATAGATCTGCCCCAGCGTACTTTGCTGTAGCATCCCACCTGCACAGGACCATGGATCGTGGAATGGCGAAGATGCTGAGAATGCTCAGCATGATTGGGAGGAGCCTTAACTGTCCCCCCACCCTGCCTTCCTAAAGCATCTGATCTGCGCAGGACCATGCGTGGCGGAATGGCCAAGGCGATCAGAACCCTGATCAGCATGGAGATCACAAGGAGCATAGTTATAGATCTGCCCCACCGTACTCCCCTGTAGCATCCCACCTGCACAGGACCATGGATCGTGGAATGTCGATGCTGAGAATGCTGAGCATGATTGGGAGGAGCCGTATCTCTTCCCCCACCCTGCTCCCCTAGAGCATCTGATCTGTGCAGGACCATGCGTGGCTGAATGGCCAAGTCGATCAGAGCCCTCAGCATGGAGATCACAAGGAGCCTTATCTCTGCCCCACCCTATTAACCTAAAGCACCCCATCTGCACAGGACCATGGATCGCGGAATGTCGAAGTCGCTGAGCATGGGTATCAGGATCCTTATCTGCATGTGTGCTTCAGGACCAATCTAGGGCTGTCATGGACCATGGAAGGAGGTCGTCCAAAACCATGAGCAGACAGATCAGGCGGCATGTGTGTAATATGCTCGAGCTCCAGATCCATTGAGTCTCAACGACAATAACTTGTGGCAGGCCTGGACTGAAAGTTGGCATGGGTGGCAGGCCCTGGTTATCTTCATCGATAGGGTGTTGCTTTCTGTTCCTGGGGCAGGCAGACGAGTTGCAGCACCTGGCCCAAAGCATCGAATCTCAGGTTCTGTTCTTCAGTCTACCACTAGCATGTTGCAGCATCTTTGTTGTCTGTTCATCTGTCGTACACCAAGCCGAGACACGATCCCTGGGATAGGCTGTCGGCCGAAAGCCGTGGGAAGCCTGGGACACTCCGCAGGCAGGATTCACGCACGGGTCTATCGTGGCGCAATATACACAAGCCTGCTTATCGACAGGGGCTTCATCCCGATCGCGAGCATGGCAAAGAGGACAATGGTATAATGGGCCCAATACTAAACAACAAAGCATTGAAAGTCGTGTGCATTCAAATATGTGCAACAGCTGAACTTTTTTTTGCATACATTCCGAACCGTGGCTTCAGGACCCTGGTGCCGAGTCTGGGGATGATCATGAAGACACTTTGTCGAGAGCCACGACATTGGTTCTCCCTGGCCCTCATGAGGATGAGGCCACGCAAAGTGAGGCCTGCTTGCCCTGTTGTGCAATCAAGCTGCCAGGCGAGCTGGGCATCCGCATCCTCCTGGATGTCTTGGGATCCCGGGTACTCTCAGTATCTGAGAGCACTGAGCCACGAAGCACATCACAGAGAAGTGACTTACGATGCAACTCCGAGCGACCCCGAGGCAGCATTCATATTCGTGTGTCCTCCGATGCATGACTAGTCGTGATTCCAGCCTCTGCCATATAGGAAGTCAAGAAGCCTGCCACAGCCCACGAGGCAGGTTTGCTCTCCTTGGTACTCGTGTTTTTTGAGTGGCCATTTGTGTTTGCTGCATCATCCACTGTCTGACCTCAAGGCTGCTGAGGATGGTTGGCATGAGGACGCATGGGTCACTGCCTTATATGCATATCGTACTGTGCTTTCGCCCTTGTGTTGAGTGCTATATGCAATGGACTACTGTTTCCAAGGACGAGGCTGCTGAGAACGGTTGGCATAAGAAGGCAGTGGTCACCCTGGTGTTGCCTGCCGCACGCAATGCACTACTGTTTCGAAGGAGGCTGCTACTGATGAGTATGATCAGGAGGCAGTGGTCAGTGCCTTATGAATTGTTATGTATTGTCTCGAGCCCCGGTGTTGCCTGCCCCTGTCATATGCTCGTATGCAATGCACTGCTGCTTCGAAGGACAAGGCTACTGCGGATGGTTGGCAGGAGGAGCCAGCCGTCACTGCTTTTTATTATGTACAGGGTCCTGTATTAACTCCGTGGTGTTAATGCACTTCGAAGGACAAGGCTGCTGAGGATGCTGGGCATGAGAAGGCAGTGGTCACTGCCTTATATGCATCCTACTGTAACATGTCCCTGGTACCTGCTACAGGAAAAGTCTTCCGCGTCCGCAGCGGGTTCCAAGGACCAAGCCGTTAATTAACTCCAGTCTGGTTCCGATAGCTCTACTAAAATAGTTTTGCTGCAGGAGACCAGCGGGCCAAGATTCCGGAAGATTGGCAAAGGCCCGGGTGTCGCCGCCATCGTCGAGTCCCTGCCTGAGCTGGGAGAAACCAAAGTGGCACATGCCACGGCGCAAAAGCTTCTGGCAGCACAGAAGAGGGAGGTCGCCAAGAACTTGAAAGGCCAGAAGAAGGAGGATCCGGGAGAAAAGGCACCGAAAGCAAAGGCAAAGCCAAAACCCAAGGGTAAGGCAGCAGCCAAGTCTGAGCCAAAGCCGAAGAAGGAAAAGAAAGGGCCCAAGACGAACTGGGCACGCCGCAAGAACAGCTTCTTCGAGAAGATACTTAGTTGCATTCATACGTGCTGCCTATAGATCTGAGCTCTGGTTGAAGATAAGTGCCCCGTGCTATCGATCCCCAGGACCAAGAAAGCGGCAAACAAGAAGATGCAGCAGAAAGAGCTGGAAGCCTGCTGGAAGGCGAGCCAGGCTCGAGCTGATGTGCTTGCGACGCTGACCAAGACCGAGATCAAACGCCGCCGCTATGACTAAGCCATGCAGCTGGCTGTGCATTTTGATTTTGATGCTTTCCTGAGCCGGAGCAAAAGATGAGAACCACGCATGGCGAATCGATCTATGCAGCTGAGTGATGCATCAGTGTACAGCTCGTGCCACACGCCACATCTGTGTCACGTGCTGCTGCTGGAGAGCATTTGTGTTCAGTCGGGTTGCGCCGTTGCAAAGACGCCCCTGTCTCGATTCCATGCCCATCCTGAACGATCCTTGGATGCCCAAGGTACAGCTTATTCAGCAACGAGCAGCAACACTGGCAGCAACAACAACAGTTTCCACAGAACAGACAAAGAAAACAACTTGCTCCTGTAACATGCTACTGCCTCTTCGATGACAGCTGTGATTTAACTGGGAGATGAAATTCTCCAACCTCGCATGCATTGTGTCATGTCTTCTCATCAGCTTCTCGGCATATACATATACTTCATGCGTGAGTCCGACAGACATGTCTGATCTTGAGTCGAAACCATCACTTAAGGTTTTGGACCAGTGCAGCCAGATGGTATCGTGGACTTCCACGAGCACTTCGCCGGTTGCCATCGCCTGTCAGATGGAGTGATGACACATGGTGGCCTCCGTGTTCGTAGCTCTGATGCTCTGAACTCAGGTAATACATGTCATGCAATGAGTTTAATCCCAAGCGCTTCCACGTTTCGCACGAGGTCAAATATGGTGAGAACCATGACATCTTGAAAGTGATGGGGTTCTTGGCTGCCATGTACTCCGTCGGGGCCTCCAGACAGATGCCACTTTTCCAGTCGCGAAGACAAAACCTGCCCAGGTCATGACCACACGGCGATTTGGCACGCATTGGCTAGCTCCGGAGTGCTCGAGCTGGGTTTGGATGCACGAGCCCCAATCTGCAAAACAAAATGGGAACCTGCCATGGAGTATCTCGATCAGGTCGAGAAAATCTACACGTCGGCATAAGCGTTTTCGGCCGACAGGTTCGGGCTGCTGCTTCCTTAAAGAAACATCGGTAAGAGTTCGATATGCCTTCGTGAGGTACCAGAAGCTTCGAAAAGGTTGTACGAGCAAACAAGATGGCTCGACGAGTGGTTTATTTGCCGGATACTCGACTTCGGATGGGTCCTCATCACTCGCTGGTGCTGTATAGATTGAATCTCTCTTCAGGATGGAGTACATGGTCAAGAAGGACGTCTACTACATTATCGAACAACCGTCTTCTTCCATCCTCTGGGAGCACCCAGCAATGCAAGCCGTGGCCTCGATCGGCTGATGTGCATATCGGCAAAGTGCCACCTCAGTGTGACTCTCTTGATTGATGCTGGGTATGGGATGACTTGTCTTGAAACTTGGAAGCTGCCCCCACCCTGTAATGGTGACTGTAAGGATTATGTAGGATTAATATATTAGGGCCCTATTATACTCCTATCATACCCCTATTACAGGATGGGGGCAGCTTCTAACTTGAAACACACAAACACGCATACACCCAAGATAGGGCTTGCAGGCTACAGTTGCTTGATCTGAATTCCGTCGACCCTATCCCGAAGCTTTCTGGAGTCCTTTTCACGGTATATGCATAGCCGACCCCTTGCTACCTCGAAGCTGCTGCAGGCTGCAATTCGCCGCCACAAGGCACGCAAAGTCAAAATCCACCTGGGCACATTTGGCGCCAAGACAGACAAAATAGTTACGTTGGTTGGAACTCATCCTCGGCTTGAAGAGCTGGGGAAGAGGGGCCGCTTGCCAAAATTCCGGAGGCTGGGTGGCACTTCTCCTACTACCGCTACTACATTACTATACAGCACTACTAATTGCACTCCTACTGCTTCGAACTTCGCGATTACTACTACTGCTGCTGCTGCTGCTGCTGCTGCCACAACCAAAACCTCCTTGTCCCTAAGTAACACATGCATTGTGCGAGAAAGAGAGTCGAAAAACAGACAGAAGTGGGAAACTTGCACGAAGCCGCCTGGCTAGTCTTGGTAGAAGATTCGAGGTACCAGCAGCAGCAGCAGTAGCTAGTAGTACGTAGTAGTACGTAGTAGTAGTAGTAGTAGTAGTAGTAGTAGTAGTAGTAGTAGTAGTAGTAGTAGTAGTAGTAGTAGTAGTAGTAGTAGTAGTGGTATAGTGGTATAGTGGTATAGTGGTATAGTGGTATAGTGGTATAGTGGTAGTGGTATACGTGGTGGTAGTAGTGGTGGTAAAAATTAAATATAAAAAAAAAGTTTTTGGTTGGTTAATAAAAAAAAACAAAAAAAAAAAAAAAATAAACAAAAAAAAAAGTGAAGTAGTAATACATACCACTAGTAGCTGGCTTGGTGGGGTGGGTGGGGATCGAGTGGGGAGCCCTACCGAGGGGGAGCCTGGCACATAAAGACGGCTCCTCCCGCACCGCTGGCCGGGTGTGGGGTGGCAGTCGCATTTTTTTTGGGCAGCCTCTCTTTGAGGCCAACGTGCCAGTGCCGGCACATGACAGCGAGGCAATGGGCTAACGTGCTCGCTGGGGAAAGGTTGCTCAAGGCCCTGCGGGAATCTGCAGGTGATGTGGCTGTTGAGGACGGGAGGCCACCGGTTCCAGTAGTGGTAGTAGTAGTAGTAGTAGTAGTAGTAGTAGTAGTAGTAGTAGTGGTGTAGTGGTAGTGGTAGTGGTATACGTGGTGGTAGTAGTAGTAGTAGTAGTAGTAGTAGTAGTAGTAGTAGTAGTAGTAGTAGTAATACATACCACTAGTAGCTGGCTTGGTGGGGTGGGTGGGGATCGAGTGGGGAGCCCTACCGAGGGGGAGCCAGGCACATAAAGACGGCTCCTCCCGCACCGCTGGCCGGGTGTGGGGTGGCAGTCACATTTCCTTGGGCAGCCTCTCTTTGAGGCCACCGTGCCAGTGCCGGCACATGACAGCGAGGCAATGGGCCAACGTGCTCGCTGGGGAAAGGTTGCTCAAAGGCCCTGCGGGCAATCTGCAGGTGACGTGGCTGTTGAGGACGGGAGGCCCAGTACTGGTTCCAGTAGTAGTAGTTGTAGTAGTCGTAGCAGTAGTAGTAGTAGTCGTAGTAGTAGTAGTAGTAG